TACTATATATATCTAGTTATATATATAGTATATATATATATATAAGTGATGATACGCATAAATGGATATGGACTAGGATATTTGAAAGCTGACTATGATTTGAGATTATATGCAGTTTGTGTTGTCATGGATCTCTCACGGAAAGTATTATCCCCTAACTTCCACATTTAGAACGGATACCTTTCCCTGTTTGCGAGCATTTCACGGTGTTTCGCTGTACATGCGTATAAAATTTATGGCCACTTCTTTCTAAAATTGTTCTCATACTCCGCATTAATTCGAGCATATACCATTCCTCACCATCCATAGTTATGAGCACATGAGAAGGACCCATAGTCAGCAACCCAGGTGCTATCTCGTTGATGATAGCTTCTTTTGTTTGCGTCAATACGGCAGCCTCGTGCTCGCTCTACGAAATAATCAAATACACTTCAATTCATGTTTGCAGTGGAGAGGTTGCCAGCGATATAAGCTACGCCCATATGGATAGGCACTGATACAACGCATCGTATGCACTGTAAGCATCGCAAGTAGTAAAATACTTGTTTTATTCAAGTTTACCGACTTGAGTCGACAGATAACAATATGTTGCCGGCTGCGAAATAAAATTTGAGAATCCGACAGAAATGTCAAATAAGTAATATTAAAAAAAACCGGTGTGTGAGAAAAAAAAGAACAAGTCCGGGTTCTAAAAATGTATTTAGCGTTTTTTATTCATGCAGTCTCATGGCAGCTCGGGCCAGGTAAAAATTCTATTTATGTTCCTATTAATTATGTAGTTTGTAAATACCCCCTTCATCGCTCACGAGGTGATGATGAGTCACGGATTATATAAATGACAGACAAGTAACAACCTTTTGTTTTTTTTTGTTCTTTTGTTTGTTTTTGTTGTTTTTGTTGTTTTTTACAAAACAAAAAACAAACAAGCAGAATAATGAAAAAGATAAAAAATAATCTTTGTTACCACGTGCATATTATTGTGTGGCAACAATATTTATTTACTTTTTATTATCAGTTAGTGACTTTTAGTGCAGTTAGTGATGCCGACTATGGTACATATTGTATTGTCTGAAACACGTTGAGTAGCGTATATACATGCTATTGGGTAGAAAGTGTGAGTACCGGAAAGGTTGATCAGAGAAAACATCGCTTGCAGAATGTGTTTAAATGGTTTCAAATGAGATCGATGAAATACTAGGGTATACATTGCGAGCTACATACAGTACAGTATGATCAGTAGTGTTTGTTTTAAAAAGCATGTAGCTAGCCTCATCCGTGTAGATCGAGCGCAATATGCGTATAGAGTTGCACAATACACAGATATATCAGCACCACTCACAACAATGCGTTGTGTACACAATTCTGCCGTCACACCAGCATATAGCAGGATCAACAGATTAAATAGTACGCATGTATGCAAGCTTCAATTTCACAATGAAGGCGCTCTATATAAGCACTACCAGGTTTCCCCGTATAGGGAAAGGCACATATACTTGTATTCCATTAGTGCTGCTGCACCCTTATATCCTACAGATACGTATGGTCGGTACAATGATGCAGACAGAACGCGCTCTACATTAGCTGTGGGCAAGTCTGAGACATCGAATGGTCGACATGATCAAACTAAAATCAGATATGATGCACGCTCGAGTGCACAGAGGTCAAGTACTGGGGTTAGAAGTACAGGAGGGATGGACGATAACCGACAATCGAGTATAGGGGTGGGTGATAAATATAAACGAACATACATAGTAGTAGGCCATAGACCGTCAAGCCCTATGGTGGAGCGACGAAGTCCACCATCGAAGTATCACTCAAACCAATCTCGTGATAAAGGATTAAATGAGAATACATATAGTACAAAAACTCCTACACACACACCGCCACGAAAAGCAGGTCACGATAGCGTACCTGTCACGAACCTCGCACGCCTCTTCCGTCGCGTCAAAAACACGGGAAACTACAGTGAAGCAGCACTCACGGCAGACACGCTTATTAAAAGTGGGAGACTACATCCCAAGGATGGCAAGTACGCTATCAAAATATACAGACTGAACAAAGAGCCAGACAAGTGCTTGGAAACCCTGGAGTACATGCACGCGAAGGTTTGGAGGGTGACAACCGAGGTATATAATACATGCATCACTGCGCTGAGTGTGGGTGGTAGGTACCGTTCGGCCTCGTCGCTGTTTATGGACATGTCGGTACGGGGGATTACACGGGATGTGGTGACGTACAACGCCATGATCCAGATGCTACTGAGGGCAGGGCATTACGACAAGGCCGTGACTATGTTCTTGGGGATGGAGAGGGAAGGGTTAAAACGAAGTGTGTACACATACACATCGATGGTGTATGCGTTCAGTAGGGCGGGTCGATGGTATGATACCATGGTGTTGTTAGAGGAGATGGAGCGGAAAAGGGTGCGTGGTATTACGGATTCCTACAACGCGGCGATAGCGGCCTGTTATACCGGCAATCAGTGGAGGCGAGCTATAGATCTGTTACGGGATATGCACAGTAAGAACATCGCACGGGATACGATAACATACAATTCCGCGATCACCGCGTGTGGGAGAGGGAATCAGTGGCAAATGGCTGTGGATTTACTCGACGACATGGAGAGGAAGGGCATCGCTAGCAATACCATCACGTACAATGCGACCATATCCGCTTGCAGTAAAGTGGCACAGTTAACCAAAGCGATGGAGATATTCGATATGATGGAAAGGAAGGGTGTCCGGCGAAACACCATCACATATAACGCTGCTATATATGCGTGCGGGAGGGGAGGTCAGTGGCGAAGAGCCCATGAATTATTTAACGAAATGGATGTCAACGGAATCCGGAAAAGCACATACACGTATAATTCTACGATAGATGCGTGCGGCAAAGGAGGTCAGTGGGAGACGGCGATACACGTATTCCGTATGATGGAACGCGACAATCTCATACCGAACACTATCACATACAATACAGTCATTTCTGCGTGCGAGAAAATGAACCGTATTTCAGAAGCCCTGGCCATCTTCGATGAAATGGAGGAGAAAGCTGTTCACCGTAATATCATTACGTACAATGCTATCATATCCGCGTGCGGGAAAGGCTCGCAGTGGGAGCGAGCGCTGCTCCTGTTCAAAGATATGGAGACAAGGGGTATCAAACGCAACACAATCACCTACAGTACTATTATAAATGCGTGCGCGAAAGGGGATCAATGGCAACACGCCCTAGACTTATTTGACGAGATGCGCGTGAAGGGTATTGCCCGCAATACCATCGTATATAATACCACCATAACTGCGTGTGAGAGAGCGGAGCAGTGGAGGGAAGCTATAGAACTATTCCTTGAAATGGGGACGAAGGGTTGTGAACCCGACACCTTCACATACAATGCTATAATATCCGCCTGCGCGAAGGGACGGCAATGGACTATCGCAATGGATATGTTTAATGATATGGAGAAAAGGGGTGTAGAACGGACTGCCGTTACATACGGGTCGACTATATCGGCGTGCGAGAAAGGGGGACAGTGGAGCACGGCGCTACGATTATTCGAAGAGATGAAAATGAAGAACATCCCGCGGAATACCATCACCTTCAACGCGACGATTTCCGCGTGCGAAAAGGGGCGTCAGTGGGAGAAAGCAGTCGCGATCTTCGATGGGATGAGCGCCGAGAATGTCGAGCAGAACCCTGCCAGCTACAACGCGGTCATGCATGCTCTAGGCTTCGCTGATAGCGCCTCTCCGCGTATCGACGCCTTGTATGAGGAGATGATCGCAAAGTTCACCCTTTATAAAGATATCTGGAGCCGGTATGACGCGAGTGGCGATCTGGATCTGCACGGGCATTCGCAGTACCAGGCACAGGCGGCTATAAGACGCCTGCTCAGGATATTGCAAGCCCAGAAGAGAGCAGAGTCGCTGAAGCAAATCATTGTGGGTTTGGGGGAGGGTAGAAGCACGGAACCGGTGCTGATGAAGACGGTACAAACACAGTTGGCCACTTTGAAGACCCCCATAGGCTCCTTCACATCACCAGATCACCGAGGAGTGCTACGACTGGTACGTAGCGACCTGGATGATTGGTTGAAGCAGAATACATAAATATATAGATACACGCATGCATAGCACGAGGTGTCCTGGGTGTCGCAGGAATTTCATACTGGTCATTAGGACAGGCGCAGTTGCAACAGATTGCTATGTATTTGTGCATACACGTTGGATCTAAACCTTGCAGGTGATTTCAAATGACTAATAAATAGGGGAATCAGTGCCCGTTACCTGCATAGAGCACGTACTTAAATATAAACCGACAATTGCCATATAGCTGTCAAGGTTCACACCCGCCTTCACCTTTCTCCGAGCGTGTGAATTATAGCCTATGCATAATACAAATGTATACATATATCTTAATTATCTACACATTGGATTCTTGGATTCATTTACACTGTAAAGTATAAAGTATCAACGCATGATATATTTAGGGGTGTGCCTAAAGGCCCAGCTTATCACAATAAATCGTACTTAGGAATATAAATATATTCATATATATGTGTGTGGATTAATGCAGAGATGGCGACTGACAAAATCGTTCTATTTCACTCGTATGTGTATGTGTATTGTATAAGTATGTAGTATATGTATAAATTCGTATATGCATAACACACAAACACAGACACGCACACACATACAGACACAGACACGCAGACACAGACACACACACACACTCACTCACTCACACATACACACACAC